ACCGCTCTTGTCTAGACCCTAGAACCATAGGAAGCTTCAACGGGACATAGCAGAATTTCTTAGATAAAGAATGGGGATCATATGTGGTAGTAAACAAACATCACTTGATTTTCTCTGAGGAACTACCATTCTCACAGTAGACCACGTTATTGATTTAGGTGTGGTTGGGTCCTACACCCCACTTTTTTAGGGGTAGAGACATGAGCACCCCTAGTTAATTAAATCATCCTGGTTCTTAGTGGCCCGCCCCACCCCCATTAGTTCAGGAATGGATGACTAATCCAATCAGACCTGTCAGCTAATGGGACTTGTAACTTTAGAAATTACAGTAATTTTAGAATTTTAAATAGCCACAATCTAAGTGTAGAATGTAAGATTTTAACCATTTTCATTTTCCATATTTTTTACAAGCCATAAAATTGTGCTAGGGCTTCTGGTTAAAGTGATTGCAGATTTGAACTCTAAGGATAACTTCTGGGGCTAACTTCTTATCATCAGGTTCTGTATTAGCTGCATTATAGCCATAATCTATTATCTTTTTTACAGAAACCCTTCCAATTTAAGACTCTGTAAGTTGTACACTGCCAAAAATGTCCATATAAATTTATAAGAGCAGCAGTAATTATTGATGTACAGTATTAATTCCATGAACTATTAGCTATCTTGCCAGCGCTGCTGCTAGGCCAGCCAGAGAGAGGTGTGTTCCTTTCCTCCGACTAGTGGGGTCCTGAACCTGCCAGCCATCCTCCTTCTAGTAGGGAGGAAGCAGCCTGCAGTGGACCCAACCTAAAGAGAGGGAGAGCTGAGAGATGGGGAATAACGAGCTCTAAAACTCTTGTTTAAGAAGCCCTGACCCCAATTCCACTTCTGAGATTCCCAGTTGTTTGAACATACATGTTCCCTACCTCTTTCTCTGATTTACCTAAGCCACTTTGAGTTGGTTTTTTTTCCTGTCACTTATGAACAGAAAGATTCCAAATACAGAAATTACTCTGACATCTCACTACCTCAAGTCAAGAACCATGACTCTAAGTTATTGTCCATTTCTAAAATTCACATGTTACCAATTTGTTAAGTGCTTTTTCTTTTTTTTAAAAATTTATTTATTTTATTTAGTTATTTTTGGCTGCGTTGGGTCTTTGTTGCTGTGTGCGGGCTTTCCTAGTTGTGGTGAGCGGGGGCTACTCTTCATTGTGGTGCGTGGGCTTCTCATTGCAGTGGCTTCTCTTGTTACAGAGCATGGGCTCTAGGCATCTGGGCTTCAGTAGTTGTGGCGCATGGGCTCAGTAGTTGTGGCTCGCGGGCTCTAGAGCGCAGGCTCAGTAGTTGCGGTGCACGGGCTTAGTTGCTCCACGGCATGTGGGATCTTCCCGGAGCGGGGATCGAACCCGTGTCCCCTGCAATGGCAGGCAGATTCTTAACCACTGCGCCACCGGGGAAGCCCCTAAGTGCTTCTTCTTAATTAAAAAAATATTGAAGTATAGGTGATTTACAGTGTGGTGTTACTTTCAGGTGTACAGTACAGTGATTCGGTTATATATATATATAGGTATGTAGGTATACATATATTCTTTTCCAGATTCTTTTTTTTTCCTTGTCTGTGTTGGTCTTAGTTGTGGCTTGCGGGTTTTCTCTCTCTAGTTGTGGCACGCGGGCTCCAGGGCGAGTGGGCTCTATAATTGTGGTGCAGGGGCTCCAGAGAGCGTGGGCTCTGTAGTTTGCTGCACGTGGGCTCTCTAGTTGAGGCACGCGAGCTCAATAGCTGTGTCACGCGGGCTTAGTTGCCCTGCAGCATATGGGATCTTATTTCCCTGACCAGGGCTCAAACCCAAGTCCCCTTCATTGGAAGGCGGATACTTAACTACTGGACCACGAGGGAAGTCCCCCCAGATTCTTTTTCTTTATAGTTTATTAAAAAATATTGAGTATAAGGAATTCCCTGGTGGTCCAGTGGTTAGGACTTGGCACTTTCACAGCCATGGCCTGGGTTCAATCCCTGGTCAGAGATCTCTGGCAAGCTGTGTGGCACAGCCAAAAAATAAAATAAAAATTTTTTAAATTCTAGGACTTCCCTGGCAATCCAGTGGTTAAGACTCCTCCCTTCCAGGGCTTCCCTGGTGGCACAGTGGTTGAGAATCCACCTGCCAATGCAGGGGACATGGGTTCGATCCCTGGTGCAGGAAGATGCCACATACCGCGGAGCAACTAAGCCCGTGAGCCACAACTACTGAGCCTGCATGCCGCAACTACTGAAGCCCATGCACCTAGAGCTCATGCTCTGCAACAAGAGAAGCCACCACAATGAGAAGCCTGCGCACCGCAATGAAGAATAGCCCCCCCTCACTGCAACTAGAGAAAGCTCATGCACAGCAACAAAGACCCAATGCAGCCAAAACAATAAATAAATTAAAAAAAAAAAAAAACTCCTCCCTTCCACTGCAGGGGGTGTGGGTTCCATCCCTGGTTGGGAAACTAAGATCCCACATGGTGTGTGGTATGGCCAAAAACAAAAAAATCTAGGACTTCCCTGGTGGTGCAGTGGTTAAGAATCCGCCTGCCCATGCAGGAGACTCAGGTTCCAGCCCTGGTCCAGGAAGATCCC